AGGAAGCAGCATGTCATATATTATTTTTCTACACAGACTGTATGGACTGATTCTGCTTTTTTATTATGCTAGTAAGAAATGATTGGGAAAAAACAAAATCTGATAATAACATCAGTATTTGTCTCTTACCTTACTGTGTCTGTTTAGGGTAATGTTTTTTTTCCCTCCATCTGAATAAACTACTTCTAAGTATACAGCACCTGGTTTTGACAAAAGATCCTATTGAACAGCCAGTAGATGTACCTAGCAGCAGATAAATGTTGATAGAAACAAACACCTCTCAAAAAAAAAAAAAAAAAAGTGGCACTTTATAGATTGTCAAAGTAGAGAACTAATGCCAGACATTATTGTACTTTATATTTTTCGATGTCTTCTCTTGATTGGTACCTGAGGGGTGAAATTGCAACGAATTGCATGCCTTCGTGTAGTTTTTTACTTGGTTATTTGTGAACTGTTACAACAAAATGATTATACATACTCCAGTCTTCTTAATGCAAAAGTTTCTTCTGCTATTGGATACTCCTCACAAATTCCTTTAAATAGGGGTGGCTGAGGTTACCCTGCAAAGGGAGGAGGGTGTACTGTTCACTGCACTCCATCCTTACCAACAGCCCATCAAAGAAGTGGATATTGTGGGGGTGGGGGGAACCGACACACTGGTTATGAACAACCGTGCCCGGCTGTGCAGCTATTAATGTCTGAATGTCATCGTTGCTATTTATTCTTTTTTGTTAGATTAAAAATGTCTTAAACTCCGCAAGACTTCTTGGAGATGTTTGCGTTTCTTTCACTGACAACTGTGTAGTCGGAATCCAAGCCAATACGGACAGGATCAACAAACTAATGAGTGAATCCCTGATGTTGGTAACAGCGCTTAACCCACATATAGGTAGGTTTAAGGCTCAGGAACTTCTTAACGCATTATACTGAAATATTCTGTGGGGATGTTCTTTTGCCCTTGTTATTTGTATTGTCACAATGTTTAGGAGACCAAGTCATGGCTCAGGTCAAAAGTTGATTTACTTTAATGTCACCAACTAGTATCACTGGGGAAAAAGATGAGTCCTCCTTGCAGTGGCCGTACAAGGGCATTATAAAAATAACCCTGATGAGAGTCCAACAAAAAAAAAGGGGATTGGGAGAATTTGTGTACCTGTCATCGTGATTTGACCGCTAATAATGAAAAGTGAAAGATTATGAGATTTTTATTCTTTTTTAAAGGAGAAGTCATCACATAGAACTGTGATCTAAATGCATTAAGACCAGAATAACAGCCTTTACCTGCGGGCTCGGCAGGGAGTTGGTGGATGGGCACCTCTGCTGCACAGGCAGTGACGCACCAGTACCCACATCTGGAAAAGCCACTCTCCGAGGGCCAGGTGTCCCACCGGTTCCTCACCTCGACCTGCATTCGGCTAACTTGTTCCTTCTGGTTTGTTACAGGCTATGACAAAGCAGCCAAGATTGCCAAAACGGCGCACAAAGAGGGGACAACGTTGAAAGAAGCTGCCATAAAGCTGGGATTCCTGACGTCGGACCAGTTTGATCAGTGGGTGAAGCCTAAAGACATGTTAGGTCCTCAGTAACTCCTGTACAAAAAAAAAAAAAAAAAAGTGTTCTTAACATTAAAAAATAAATAAAATCACACAAATACAATACGCTTTCCTTCTCACGCCCGACTCCCTCGCACCCGCCGCCGCGGCAAGGAGGCCGGG